CAAATGTCTGCATCGCGGCAGCGCAAGGTGGGTTGCTGGGCCACATCCGTGAGGCTGGTGTATTACACGCATAAATGGATCCCGCCAGTGTCGGAGCCAAGGGCGACGGTATGCCTTTGCACCACGACGGACTGGACGACCTGTTTTGGAGGCAGGACATCCTTCCACGTCATTTGGACTTTCCGTGTTGATGGCGACGGCCATATACATTGCACCGCGATCTTGGCACCGTGCCCGATGACTAGCCACGTCGTCTCGTCACGATCTCGTTGTGCGCAGTGGACTTGGCTGCCTTGGATCGACTCGGGCAGGTTTGTGATGTACGTTATGGGATGACACGATGGCCACCGCCACAGAATCGCTTGCTTGTCGGTCGACCCGACCGTGATAAAAGTTGAGTCCGAGACTTGCGCAAGGTGGACGACGTTGGCCAGGGGATGCGCCTGCCACCGGCACTGCAGTCGTCCCGTGAGGGTTTCCACCACGTCGACATGGCCTGAGGTCGTTCCCACGCCGATCAACCCAAATAAGCCCCCCAGGCACGACACACACCCAGAGTCGACGAGCTTCCACTCTATGGCCGCGTTCGTGCGGGTATTGTTGAGACTGTCCGTCGCACCCAGCCGCCACTCGCCGTCGTTATCTGGCTGCTTTTTGTACGACAGCGTGTCGATGGAATGTGCTACAACTGTGTCCGTCGTAGCTACAGCGACATGCCCAGCGCCATGACCATCCGCGGACCCGATCACTTGGATCGCCATGAGCGGCTCCGCTGGCCGCTTCCAATGCCACAATGGCAGTGTTGTGACGTCAGCGTCGACGTCGAGGACGTACACCGACTGGGAGTCGCACACCACGATGAGATGAGCCAACGGACACCCCTCTCGACTGAGAGGAATGATCGTGTGCACGGGCCACTTGAAATTCCGCTGCCAGATGAGCGTCATGTCGGATGTTCGGTGCAGCGTCACGATGCCGTCCCCGCTGGACACGGCCATCCAACGCCCCCCAGCTAAACTTGCCAGGGACCTCACACGGCCATGCAATTCTATCGACGACACAGCATCGCCCTTGAGTGGCCAAGACATCGACGACGTTGTCCATCGGTGGGGCAGCGTTGGTCGCCTTGTGGGTGGGGGGCGCCGTGCGAGTTGCTGGCACGCGGCAGCAACCGTGTCGGCTATGGCTGCCGACAAGTGGGCAACAGGCAGTGGGGGCTCGTTCACAGGCACCTTCGGGAGCTTGAATGGTGTCGCCTTTGACATGGACCATGGGAGCCCCAGACATGTGTCAAAGTGCTCGAATCCGAGTAAATGCTGGAACTGTTGCATGTACGTCGGGAACTGAGCATGCGGAAACTGAACAAGAAACTGCCGCAGTGGTGCACATAGATGAAGCTTGGTCAAGTCGGTGCCAACGACTTGGCCCAGGCGCAGCACCGTGTGCACTAAGCTCGTGATGACCACCCATTCGCCGATGAACGGCACGGCCAGGAGAGCCAGCGTCGCCGGGATGTGGTACCCTGCCAGGTTGGACGGCAAGAGCGACACGAGTTGCCGAATCGTCTTGCACGTCATGTGCACGTCGATCTTTTCAGGAGACTAAAACAAATACACATCTCAACAAACACCGCAAGCTTTCAGACAAATGGAGGTTTCCACGTGCACATGCAGCAAAAGCGCGTTGACAGGGACGTCAACGTCGTCCTTGCGAGATGGAGGCATCGTACCAAGTGAGTAGCGGGAGAGCGGAGGGATGACTCGGCGGCTTCGACTTGAGCAACAGCGCGCAAGGCGTGTCGAAACAGCGGTGGTAATACCATCGCGTGGATAACCCACGGGTGGATTCCTGCACAAATGTGGACAAGAGCGAGGTGGACTCCACTTGGGGAGACGTGCAGGGGCGTCGGGGAAGGGAGTCGTGGCAACGGAACGTCGATTAAGGTGAGCACGGACGTCAGGATTTCGTGGCTGACAACGGTGGCCCCCATGAAGTCTGCATGCGCCCACCGTCCCTGCAGAAAAACAAAAATTGTTTGAATTGCCGACAACAACCGTTTTCGTAGTACCAGGGTACGAGCTATCGCATGCTTGAGCAAAGCCGAGCCCGTGCGAAGCCAAGTCACCAACACAGGTAACACGTGCGTGACCAAAAACGTCGTGCCCAAGTGGTGCCACATCACCCGTAGCCATCCGTGTCGGTCGGGAGCTTCCATCGAGGATACAAGATAGATTTTCACAGCGACGTCGTCGACCCGTTCCAACAATGTGACGATGGGCGTGCGAACCAACGCTTCAAACGTCACCTTGTCCAAGCTCAGTCGACTCAACGTTGGTACCAAGAGCACCAACGCTTCGGCGGCTTGCGCGGGCGACGACTTAGCCAAGAAGCGCTCGATCGTGTGGGCCACGAGATGAACCCCTTCCCGTGGCACTTGACGCGATTGCACCAGTTCAAGTGTCTTTGGGACCCAATTCATCACCGTGACAGTCTTCAAGTACGACAACACCACCGGGAAATGCGACGGAAAGAGACCTTCGCAGAGGGCGTTGCTGCACGAGGATGTAGTCTACGATAAACATGTCGTCGTCAAAATTCGGTGCTATGCAGGTCCGCGAACGCACGTGGTCGTGGTGCATGGACTGGGCCCTCGCCGCTCTGATGGATGGATTGGGATGCACGAGGTCTTGAACGACGTGCTAGCATACGGTTCCCAACGTTGGTCATGTCGAATCAAACAAGTGCGTACGCGAATCGATGGCGGCACTGACGCCAGTTGAGGAAGCGCTTTCCGAACAGAAAACGACCGGCCAAACGCGGCCCCCAAGCCGACATAATCGCGGACCGAGTCGGTGGAAAAAAGTGGGCGATCCAAATACACCTCGGCTATCATGCACCCGACGGCGAAGGGCCAGTCCGTCGTATGGGGAAAGACGCAATACGCAGGCGACAATGTCGATGCATAGCGTGTGCCAAATGACTTGGCCGACGACGCGTGTGAAGTGCTTCGCTTCGGCACACCCGACGAATGGTGCGGATGCCGCTTGCCCTAAAGAGGGATAATCCGTTTCTGTGGGCGATAGAGTCACGCATGGCAGGCCACACACCTTGTAGTGTGTCGGGCACTGCTTCGCGATCTGGACGGCAAAGTAGTTTTCGTCGACGACAAGGGTGTCGACTTGAGTCGGTGACGCTTGCTTGCTTCGACCCGATGTCTTGACTCGTTTGGCTGGATGGGCATGTTGAAAGACCTGGATAAACCCCCGATGGACGACATTTTTGTGGCGCACGGCACTTGGCCCGTTCAAGTGCACGCCAAAATTGAGGTCGATCCAAGTGTGGAGTTGCGCCGACACGTCGTCGCTCTCGAGGACGCGGCGATGGTACGCCACACATGCGTCGGGAGTCGCGCACCATGGAGGCAGCGTCAGCGACGCCATGTCATCATGGCAAGACACAAAGACGGACGCGTCCAAATACAGCTCTGGAATGCACTCGTCTGGGGAGGATGTAGCCATCTTGGCCAGTGACGCAGGGTATTCCTTCGGTTCAAACGTCGCCCGGACGACGCGTTGTAAGTGAGCCCGAGGCAGTACGCGAGCGAGATAAATGGCCACCGATAAGTCACTCAAACTAGTGCAACAAGCATCAGCACGAGCAGCGCGTGACCGAGTCGTCGACGGAGCGTACTTTTCGGGGATGTGGTACCCCGTGTGGCTGTACATGCGATCGACATGGTCGTCGCCTTTGGTCAACCGAAACTTGGACATGGTCAAGTCGCGCAGATGTGACGAGGGGTGTTCAGAGGAGGCGAGTGGAGTCGATGGGGCCGAAAAATCTGTCACCCACGGCAAAACTGCATGCGACGTCGTGGATGCCTTGGCACACACGTGAGAGAAGATCGAGAGCAAGACGTCGTACGATTGAGCGCCCGGCCGCGGCGTTGACCGCCATGAGGTACTCGAGGTTGGAGATTTCACCTGCACACCACTGCTGGGTCAAACTGCGGCTACACCGCACCGTCGTCGATGTCGGGGACGTAGTGAAGGCATCAAACGAAGGAAGAAGGTCAAGCTGGAGCAGGTTGCGTTCGTCGTCCACGGTGAAGCTATGTGGAGAGAGATTGAAGGGTGATGGACTGGCGTGTTGCTGCTCCCCCATACAGGCCACCAATTGATACACGATGAACAAGCGGGTGGACTCGCGGTATTTGGGGGACCTCTAGATGGGTGTGGGCTCTTGGAAAGTACGAGTGGCATAAGTTACCTTGGGTGAGCTGTGATTGCTATGCCTCTGCTGGACGAGCAGGTCATGCAGAGACCGTTGTGGTGGAGGACAGATGATGCTCACTGTTCCAGACGAGGCATGCACAACAGAATGCATTTGATCGGACACTCGCAGGTTGTGCCAATGGACTCGCGTCGTCTTTTCTGCAAGGGGTTCGCATAACTGCATCAAAGCTTCTTCGATTTGTCGATCCATCAGGCGGCGGTCGTCGCTTGTGTCATTTTCACGCGGTGAGGCCTGTTTGTCGTGGACGAACACACTCCACTCGCGACCGTCCGCCGAGTACACCCTAACGAGCGCGTAGCTTGTTGGGGTTCCTTCATGAGATGTATACGATGTCACGTGAATGGGAAAGACGCATTCCACGTCCAAGTCGCGGCACACGCGTGCTCTCCTCAATTTCCATGACATTTGCGCACGTTCGGGTGCATTCCATCGCAACCGCTTACTGGTGGAATTTCGACCAATCCAATACTTGCGTACATTATGTGAATCACTTCAACGTATCCATCTGTTTTCGAGCTCCTTAATGAACGTCGCGAAGGTCACTCCGCCGTGTTTGCTCTCATGCTGTGGCATGACATCCGTCGACCTCGTCGACCTCACACGTGCATTCGTTACACATTTGCATGAACCCAGCGCTGCGTGGAGTTTCACGCGCGAGGTGTTTTGTCTTGTCTTAGCTCAATATTTAAATATTATACTATAAAGAGTGCTAATTGTCTAATCTATGCTGAATATTTCTATATTTTGTATTGTAAAATATTACATATATATAGCAATATTATAGATCATCAGAGGAGAACGAAGTGCGTAAATACTACGTTAGTAAATAGGACCAGTTGATACATGATTGCCTGTAAAAATCGATACATGATAATATAGATTTTTCATTCAGCGATATGATTGGACCGCTTCAACAGCCAATGAAAAGACAGCCCATCAATGCCAATTCTCGGTTGGCCACCGCTGAGTTTTCGAATTCGCCATGACGACTGGTGCCCTACTTCGAGCGTGCCGCGGGGTGGCCTCCTCGGCGGCGCCGCGACTGCGTGCGACCAAGCCAACTGTCATGGCAACATCGGTACGCTTCTTTAGCGACGGTAGGTGCATTGTTGGTTGCACAGTACTTGTGCTCACCATGGCCGTTTTGTAGACAAAAAGCCAATCAACACAGGACGGTGGGTTGTCGGCGACTCGTCCACGCCCGCAGCTGGCCTAGACGCGGACCTACTCAAGTTGGCCGATCAAGAGAACGCTGACGCAGCAACTCATGTCTCTCCTTTGTCCGAGACTGAAATCTTGCACGTTGGCAGCGGCGAAGACGAAGAGACGATTGTGATCCCTGGTCTTGAGAACGACTTGGAACCGTTCGAGATGGACGGAGCCGCTGATGATATCGACGATGACTACGAAGATAACGACGATACGCTCCAGGACAAGGTGTACGATGACTGGGATCTTCAAGAAAACGACTTGATCTTGCCCGAAATGATGAACTGGATGCTACCCAAGGCCCAGCGCGAGCCCCTGCGCGCGCCCAAGGAAAAGCTCTGGACCGAATTTGTCAAGGCGGACCTGGACCCCGTGGAATTGGCGTTGGTACGAACGAGTGACTCGGACGACGCGCTGTCGACACTAACTCGTACGTGGATGTAGAACGTGGACTTGTTGCGCCTGTTCATTTCGCCGAATGGCCGCATGCTTCCACGCCGATTCACCGGCCTGCGCGCCAAGCAACAAGTACGTGGACCATCGCGTTGTGCAGTGTGTTTGATCATTTGTTGTCGTTGTAGCGCCAATTGGCGACCGCGATCAAGAATGCCCGGCAGATGGCGCTGTTGCCGTACACAAGTCGGTACCCGATGCCGTCGCCCGAGCAGATGAAGTTGTTGACGGAGCAAGCGGTGGCGCAGTACGACGACTTTGACTTTGACGCGGCCGACAACGAACGTGGCGAGGACGAAATCGACGCCATGTATGTCGAAGACTAGAGAGACAACCCGATACCATACACCATCAAGCACACTCGCTCCTTTTTATATCATGTTGTAAACGCATCTATCCTACGACGGCCATGACACGGGGCGGCCATCTCGCCATCACGGTCAGTGGTGGATGGAAGCGCCGCGCAGGGCACGTTACCAACCGCGTGCACCACTTCTGCCCACCCCCTTGGCCACCACATCGACAAATCTATCACAACTTACACACGGGGAGCTGCATTCAACGATCGATGTGGACGAAGGGTCTGTCTCGAATGGCATACTGCGGAACACAGGGATTTGGTTTGGCTGCATCGACTCCTCTTCGCCGATTCTTCATTTTGGCGAACGCGGACATTCATGCCGAATCGAGTCCGTTCGTCGAACTCGACTATGTCCCGTGTGCGACCGTCGATGACCTGCCAGCCCCGTCGAACTGAAACGCGATGAGATTGTGACAAGGCAGAGCGGCAATGCCCGGTATGGCAGTGAGTACATGCCCGACGAAAGATCACGCATGGACGGGGCAAGTTGGCGCGAATCGAATGGCAATGGCGACGCAGATTGCGTTGTCGATGCTATCGGTTGTTATATATATCACATTTAGTCCTAGCCGTGGATCGACGACATTCTAGTCACTGTCGTTGCCATCCGCCTTCTTCTTCTTCTTCTTCGACTTTTTCTTCTCGGGTTCGTCGGCGTCCGCGGCAGCAGCGTCGGCGTCTTCCACGTCGCGCTTCGCCTTCTTCTTCTTCTCCTTCTTTTCTTTCTTGCCGTCAACATCGTTATCGTCCGAGACGTCGGGCTTGACCTCGGTAACCAACGGCTCCTTGGTCTCCTTGTACACCTTGGACACGTCTTCGGGGGTGTTCGCGTTAACCTTGCCGAACTTGCCGATCTTGCCGTCCTTGACAAGACCCTTTACCTTTTGGGCCATGGGTCCCAAACCCCACCGGCGGGGATACGTGTCTCGCTCCATGATGACGCGCTTGATCTTGGCGACGACGCCGTGATCGCAGGTCGCCATGACGGCCGTCGTCATTTGCGCAATCCCGATCGCAATCGCTTCACCCTTGGTCGTCATGAGCACGACTTCTTCGTTGATGTCAATGTCGTCGGCAAATCGGAGCAAACCGGGCACCATGAACTTGGCGCCGTAGCACACTGCGTTGACCGCGCTGTCCTTGACGACAATGCGCTTGTACGTGGTAAGAAGCACTTCCAACGGTCGCACGATGCGGCGCAAGTAGCTCTCGTCCTTGTACGTGTCGTACGCGTACTGCGCATCCAGCACGTCGTGCATCGTGACCATCGTGTCGGATTCACCAAGGACACCAGAGCGCACGCGGCGGAGTTCCTGCATATGACCGCCGACGCCGAGGACCAGACCCAAATGCACACACAGGGTTCGAATGTACGTGCCAGCTTCGCAGCTCACATGGAACACGCCGAGGTGGCGATCCTCGTCGTACTCGATCAGCTTGGACGAGTAGATCGTACGGATGCGGAGTTGGCGCTTGACGGCCGAAATGAGGGGCGGGCGCTGGAACAACGCACCGGTCAAGGTTTCGATGGCGCGAGCCAACGAAGCTTGGCTTTCAATGGCACTGTGGAGGCGAACGATCGCCACGTACTCCTTCCCGGCCCCTTGCTGCGACTTGACCAGGCGCGTCGCGCGGTCGACACACACAATCAAGCAGCCCGTGACCTTAGGATCGAGCGTGCCGCTGTGGCCCGTTTTCTCGACGCGGAGGATGCGGCGAATCCACGCGACCACTTCGTGGGAAGATGGGTTCGCCGGCTTATCCAAGTTGATCACGCCGTACCGCACGTAGTCGTTCAAGTTGCGCTTCAACGGCGTCGAGCCACTCGGGATGGGCGTGTAGTGGCCAGTGCGGATGTTCAAGCTCGAGTAGTTCTTGAGCAAGAGCGGCCACTTGGACGTGTCCAAGACAGGCGTCGTGGCCTGGGGCGCAATGAGTTCATGCGACTCCTTCGACTTCTTCTTCAGCGCCTTCTTCTCTTCCGCCATTTTCAACAACGATCCAGGAATGGCCAAGTTGACCCCTTGGTGCCAGCCAAACCCCACCACCAACCAAACTTGGCGGCGTACATGTGCCGCAGCATTTTAATCCCCGTCACTCTTCTTTATTATGATCTTGCCGTTTGTATTGAAACTGAAGCCCCCGCATTAAATGTGATCGATATTTTTTCCGCATTCAATTTCCGGTGTTTTGATTGGATAAAATGCTTTCAAATATCTATCGGCATGCCCCGTTTGACTTGACACCACCGTCTGCACTCAAACACTGCCCTGCACCTACTTCGTGCTTCAGAGTACTGCACCGTTCCTGGAGTTGTGTTTAGGTCCAAGCCACGAGGTTAGCGTGGGACTCCAACGACAGGACGACGCGGTTCCTTTTGTGGTTTATGCAAACGCCACTTGGTCGCGTGTTGAAACGCCTAGTCATACTATAAACTTAGTATGCAAAGGTACTAGCAAGGCAAGTACGATGGCAGGAGTCCGGCGCGAGACACCGCTGACCAAGTTTAACGACCTCGCCAAGGAGTGGGAGAAGAGTGTGGCCCAGGGCACGGGACGCCTGACACAGATTGCCAACGCCAACCAGAAGCTGTCGCATGCAGACGGGGAGTCGTGGGCAGGACTCGCGGATGCGCATGCACTGCACACCACACTTCGTCACAAGGTAGAGGCCATTCCATTCCCGCATCGTTACCACAGCAATTCACCATGAGATGTGTCGGTTGACATAGCTCGAGAGGGAAGCCCACCAGTCATGGCAGCACCTAAGCACCGTCCTGGACCAACTCGTACGTAGCTTTCCATGTTGGCATGCGTCATCTTCGTCCTTGTCACAGGGCGAAATCCTTTCAAAAATGCGATCGCTGTGCCTGGTCGAGATAACTCCTCACAAAATGGACGTCGACTGCAACTTCTGCCCGACGTTGTCCCGCGTGCAACATGGTATGCTCGTCGACCTCGGCGGCACTCGGTGCGGGACTCACAGGCCTTGTAGACTTGCTCTTCCAGGAACTGATCGAGATGTACCAGCAAGAACTCATGGCGAAAGCTATGATCGCGGTCGACATTGTCGATTGCCACGATCACGACACGGCTGTCGTGTACATTGCGTCGTGGCAAATGCAGCCGTACGTTTGTAAATCTCGGCAGGACGAGCTCCTGGTCCTCCTAGCGCCGCCTCCAAAGCGCGAATCGTCTCAGAAGCTCGTCAAATAAGTTAATGGATGCAGCAACGACGGTGTGAAGGCCGACTCGTGGCGCTTGTTTGCTCGACACATGCAATTGTCGGGACGGGGGGTCGGAGTCGCTTCCACGTCATCGCATCGTGAACCCTGTCACGTCCATACTGATGACCTGTTTGCCATGGCGGCGCTGAGGTCGCCTTGCGCAAGTCGTCAACATGGCTTACCACAGTCAAGTACTCTTGTAATTCGGCTTGGGACCTGTACAGTGGCAGCGAGATCCTGCGTATTGAGAGTGAGCTGGCCGGCGGCCCCTGCAACAAGTTCATCCAACACGCAATGCTAATTTTCATGCAGTAGTACACCAAACCACGCAAAAGCATCCGCAGGAAGGAGCTGTGGAAAAGCCTTCCGCGCGAGAGCATTCCATCATAGCCACAGATGCGAAGTGGACGAGGAATATCACAGAAACCTACCGGTTGAAGCAAGTCATGGCGACGGGAAATTTGCTCGTGGCAGTGGACAACGCGATCGTGAATGGGCATACGAGTCCGTTGCTGCTGGTGAGGGCCTGCAATCACCATACCCACCTCGCGTTAGGATTTGTGAGAAGCGATGGATCGAGGAGGCGTACCCGAAACCCTTCAACGGGTGGTCGGGACGAACCGGTGACGAACTGCAGTAATTTGGCCTTTTGCACTTGGGAATACGAGTGCACTGTGAGCCAGAACCAGTCGACAACGTCTTGTTGCTGTGACCCGTGCTTGCCCCCGCGCCGTTTAAGTTGCGACGTTGCGAGGTACTCGACTGTCGTGTGGAGCTGCCAGTCCGTCGCGTTGATGTCGTCGTGTCCTTCAACGCTCTCGTTGTGAAAAATCGCATGTGGTCGTACATACCACACAAAATCAAGTCCATTTCGAACGCGTCAAACACGTGGAGCAGCGGCACCGGCAACACGGCTTGAAACCCTTCCAAGAACGCTTCCAATGGACCGTGCACTGCGTCGTAAAACAAAAACCGGACGATCGCAGCCACGTATTCGTGCTTGTTGGCGTCCGTGACACTCATGCAGTCGCCGCCAGCGATCAATGGCACCCCGCGCTAAGGAACAAGTACATCAAACCCATGGCAACGACGGTAGGAGGCAGCGAAGGAGCGACTGCACCATCGTGAAATCCAGGCCGAGTTCGTGCGCGTCGCTGTGATCTACCACCCACGCAATACTCTGGTGGAGGTCCGTGTCCAAGTGCACGAGGTCGTGCCACGTCATCGGGATACCCAACACATGCTTCCACAGCGGAATCGCCAAGTGGACAGAGAGACAGTGGCCATCCTGAATCGCTTTGGCCACGACGCGTCCTGCAAACTTGAACATCTACAATCCACCGCCGGCATGTTCGCCCCACCTGAGCGCTTTCAAATACAGACGGAAAGGAAGGAAGGGGGGGGGTACCTGGCAAGACGAGTCGTCGTCGCTGGTTTGGGCAAACCAGTACGTGATGTCAGGCGTGTGCGTCGGCTCAAACCATCGCCCGCCAAACAATTGACGCGTCACAAGTCCAAACCATTCACGAAGGACGCCGCCTCCCGCGTCCACGGCAGGTTCGTTGTGAAATTCAATCTGTAGATGTTGGCGCATTGACGTTGGCGGGATCGCCAGCAACTGCCGCATAGAACTCTCGAGCGCTTCTGCGCGATGGACACTCACGAGCGAGTACCCAGTGACATGGTCGAGACTCAACGAGTGCAGCGCCTGGTTGAACCACGACACCTTGGCCGAGAACGGCTGGGTTGCCATGCTCTACACAGCTCGCCGCACACAGTGAGACAGGCACGATGGCGGCACCCGACGACGTGTACATGAATTTGGTCCCACGACAGGTCCTTCATGGCGTCGGTATAAATCGTTGTCGACCACTGCACGGACGCTGCCCACGCAAGAACTGGTCAGATCTCGGCTGATAGCGCCCTGTCGGAATCGAACGTACTGGCAGGAACCCAGGCGGATGACATGCCAGGGCCGCGAGCCTCGCGAACATACGCGACCGACGACGCCGATAGCGCCGAGTTGTCGAATGAAGCTGCAGGTCCGTCTAAAGAAATCGAGAGCGCTGTGCCGTCGGGCAGCACATCCTGCAAGAGGTCCGTGATGTCGAGAACGGGCGTGTGCACCTATGTGTTGGGTCAATATGGTCTATGGCGATGGATCCATCAGAAGAGTGGGTGTACCCAGTGGACAAAGTCGCGGGATGGAGGCGACGAGCCTGCACTTCGTTTCCACAAGTGGCGATTTCGAATGCGTTGCTGTGTGGCGCTGATGGTCGACTCGCGCGGGCCAGAGGCGAGCGTGGTCGATGTCAGGATGATGGACTTGTGCCAGTCCGGTTCTACAACGTGCCATCAAACAAGGATGGCGATGCTGGACAAAAGTACCGAAGTCGGAGCGACACATGGCACAGCTTTGGTTCTGGTGCTGGTTCTTGTGGTAGCAGACCCAGCACAGCCACTCGTCCACGAGATGGCTACGGCCGGTGTCAAGACCGTGAAGGGTTCACAGCGCCTCTCGCAAGTACCTGTTGTCCAAGAACGCTCGGTATTGCGCAGCAGGCATCTCGGCGGAGCGGGCAACGCTTCGACGGCAGTTGTAGATGAAGGCGATCACGCGATGCCGGTGCCAGTACAAGGTCATGCCTGCAAAGACAAGCGCCAACGCGGTGACCAAGACCACAGAGAGTGCGTTGCCTGTGCTGTTCATGGTGGTTGTGGAGTTGAGGCCGCGTCGCAGTGACTAAGGTGGGTCGTTCGACGTGGCGTGATGGTGGCACCAACCAGTGTAGACACCGGTCGTCGCTGCGCGCTCTCTGGATCTCGACCGGCCGCCTGTTTCGGGACTACCGAACTCATTCCACAGTTGGCCACCGAAAACACTGGCTTCTTGTATGTTCCATACTGAAATCAAGTTCAATGATCAAGTTGCACCCGTGCCACAGCCCCATCACGTGCGTTCCCCTGGGGGGACCTCGTTGAAACGACAGCTTCGCTCCACCGACGCCCACAGCGGGAGGAGGAAACGACGGCATCGACAGGACGCATCGTGCACGCAATGACATGACGAAATCAGATTCCCTCGGTTACGTCGTTGGTGCAAACACGACCAGTGATTTCGTGTCTCGTGCCGGAGCCAGCCCCCTTCGTTCCCTCTTTTCGCCAGGCGGTCGTAATCGTCCTTCCAGAGCAACGGGGACAGCTCCCCACGACGCAGCGTTGTGGCCCACCAGCATCCTTCCCTTGCCATGCAGGCTGGTGGGGCGGCTTGGGCCGATGGCGTTCTGCCCTTGCAACTCGCTTGTTGGGTTTATCGAGTAATCGCATTGGTCAAAACTAGTTGGAAGAGTCGGGACCGATTGGCTAAAAGACGAGGAATTGATTTCATGGCGGAGAAGTACTGTACTCTGTAAGTACTGTCTGTACTGTACCTCGGTTCGACCTTCCCAAATTACCCTCCAAAATGCACTTCGTTCAAACCCTCTCAGAAATTGTATAACACTCTCAAAATTTATATTTTGTTCGCTCTGTCCAAAATACTTCAGTGAAGTACATGCGCAGACGAGCGGAGGGGAGACATGATGCATTACAGTGATCCCCCAAGTTTTGCAACACTTCAAGAATATACGTTTCTGAAGGCTATTAAAGAAACAAAGAACAAACAAGAATTCATTTTAAGAGACCATTGGATGCAGTTATTGATTAAGTTGAGCAAGGTATTAATTTATACCAGTTCGCAAACCTTGGGGGACTACTGTATTGAATAAATCTGCGAAAAATACTTCAATCAGAGCCCTTCTTTGCAGTCCATCGACAATACCTCTAATTTTTCATTCTCTTTCGAACATGATTTAGCGCATCAAGATTGGACAAGTAATTGTTTTTTGAGGTTTCTGAAACATTGTAGTCCTGCGTGGTACAGGAGTATGTCAATTTACTCTGGAACCGACGAAGCACCTGGTTTTGAAGTACAGAAAAATCAAAACATTGACGAAATAGTATCAAATTCCTTTTCTCAGTGTTCGTCTCTCTGTCTTCACCACAACCTCCGACGTATTGGACATACACCGTGCCATCAATTCCAAGGCGTGGCGGGAGCACCACAGCGGCAGCATCATACAAACGCGGCCGGGTTGGGTGGAGCCGACCAACACACAC